GCCGTGGTCACCAACCAGTAGATCGCGATCTACCGGTAGATCTCAGGGGCGCTAAGAGTAGCTCTTGAGCCCTCTCTGAACTGCACACCTGCGCAGTACATTTACATTAGATTTCCTCATGAAATGTAGGCGGAGCTTCAAGGAAGGGGCGGGGCAGTAGATCTTCGCCTGTTCTGAGACTTAAAAAGTGATCTTGGGTGTAAAAAGGTTGGAGACCACTGACCTACCAGATGCTTTTTAAAAATCTCCAAAGTGAAATGTGAATTGAAATGTCCTTTGTATTATTTTAAGGGCATTTTATTTTAAAGGTCTTTAGACAGCCAGGTAAGCTGTAAGCATGTTATCACTGAAAACTAGCTTTGTGCTGAGGGGATGGGGCAGCTTGTATCTGCAGTCACATTTGCAATCGGCAGATACTTCTTGGCTATGTCTACACTGCAGGCTTCTTGCACAAGAATGGTTTTGTGCAAGAATTCTTGCGCAAAAGGTCTTGCACAAGAGCACATCCACACTGTCATATGCTTTTGTGCAAGAGATGTGCTCTTGCACAAAAATGTCCATGGCAGTGTAGATGCTCTCTTCACAAGAAAACTCGAATGGTCATTTTAGCCATAGGGGTTTATTGCGCAGGAAACCCCTGTTGCCCATCCACACTGCCTTCTTGTGCAAGAGTGCTTATTCCTCGTGGGGAGAGGAATTGCACAAGAAGCTCTCTTTGCTGACACTATACTGTAAATTTACTTGCGCAAGAATGCACATGCAGCGTAGAAGCTCTGCACGTTTTTGCGCAAAAAGCCTGCATTGTAGATGTAGTCCTTAAGTATGTTATTTAACCTGTCCTATCTAAATTAATCAGGAAATTCAGACTTGGGACAAGCAGTATTATTTCTCAGGCCATTGTGAGAAACAAGTGTGTATGATAAACACTGAGTGGGAAAAGGGCTGAAATGGATATAAGGTAGAGGAGAGACATCCCGCTGCCCAGTGCACTTTCCAAGCATTAATCTATGGGCAGATGGGGGAAGGTAGCAGGCACAGGCGCTCTGCAGGCACACCAGAAAGGTGAGGGTTGATTTACCTGAGAACGAGGTTCCCGGAGAAGAGATTTTATTGGTGTCACTACATGCATCTGATGAAGTGGGTCTTTGCCCATGAAAGCTTGTGCTCCAATAAATCTGTTAATCTATAAATGCCACAGGACTTCTTGTTGGTTATTTGGTGTCAGTGAAAGCCAATTTCAATGATAAAAACACCACTCCCCCATCCACCTGCGTAGCCAGAGGCAGAAGACGATGCCTAAGCAGTGGGCCCGCCGGAAGGCAGTTATGTGGGGTGCTGGCTCGCACTAATCCACCTGCGGGCACGTCTAGGAAGAGCACGAGACAAGCCCGACATGCTTATTTGCATACCCCGCCAGGCGCAGACGCACGGTGCGCCGCAGGGAACTTGGCGCTCGTGACCCCAGCCGGCCGCCCGGCGTGCGACATAAACGACTGGGGGACGGAAGCGCCGCGCTCACAGGCTGCCCCTCCCATCTGGGGCACCCGGATGTAGACCCTGCCCTGTTCGCTTCCGACCGGGGGGCTTCCGGTACGTGGGACGCTGAGGCGAAGAGGACGAGGCTGGGTCTGCATCCCGGTAAGTGCTGGGAGCCGCGAAGTGCAGGCGCTGGGGGACACCGCGTTTCCTCCTCCTCTTCTCCCGGCCCCTCCCGCGCGGCGTTATGTGCCCCGCCAACCGGAGAGTGCCTGGGTCGCGCCGTCCCGCCCTGCCACCGCGGCCTTGTGAGCTCCCGCGCTCCGTGCGGTAGCAGGGCTCCGGCGGCCCGCCCTCCAGCCAGGGCTTCCACCCGGGAGCTCATCGTAGGGCGAGGGAGGGAGACGCCGAGCTGTGCCCGGGGCGGGGCCCCGGTATAAGCGTCGCCAAATCTATGGCAGCCGTCGCCCTGCCCCTGCTGGCTCCGCTGAGGCCGCCCCCAGCGTTCACCGCGTCCCCTCAAGCCCACCACCTCACGCAGTCAGCTTACAATGTACCGCCAGCAGGGTGGGTGTTCCTCTGCTGCCGCCTGATCTCCGCGGCTTTCGGCCGCCGGGGTCTTGTTTTTCCCCCGCAGCCATGCGAACCGAACCCTGTCTCTTTAAATGCAAGCGGAGATTTTCCTGTAACAACGCGGCTCCGGGGGAGCGGTTGTAACTAAAGCAGTGTTTCTCAACCTTTTTATATAAAGTACCTTTTTAAAATAAATTCTAAGTACCCCCCAGTACCCACAGTTTTCCGACATACAGTTTTTTTTTACCATTGCCACACATTTGTTTAAACAACTTAATCGTAGTGGGGCAGGGGATGAAATTTTTGGGTGTAAAAATAACAAAAATAATAAAGTGCTGTAAAACTTAAAACAAAAATTCAGTTTTCTCCAAATTTCAGTTGT